CCCTAACGTCTTGGTGTTGATCAACACCATCTCTGCGTAAGGCCAATTGGGAGCAACACCGCCAGTATTGTCTGGTAGCCGGGCAAACGTGGAGTTCCCTTGTCGGCCAATGATGGTGCTATTGATAAAAACATTACCATGCACACCGAATCCAGTTCGCGTCCAGGTCACGGCACCGATTGAGTTGATCTCACTCCGCAGCCAATAGACTGAGCCGTAACCAAGAACAGAGTCACCATCACCAATGAGCGTAGTGTCGGTGACATAAATAGTACCGTATGTTGTTAGTGCATCGCCAGAGCCATTCAAGGTCAAATGATCGAGAATGACTCTTGTACCCTCTATTAGTAAAGCCTCAGCCTGACCTCTATAGTAGTTATTGATGGTGAAGTCGCTTAGTTGGACATCGGTGACGCCATGAAAAGAAAAGGCAGGTCGGCGCGATGGGCCTTGTCTGTTTGGAGGATTGAATGCACTGTTGTTGGGGTACCCAACCACTGTCCCGTTACGACTCTCTCCTCTGATGGTCAGGTTCGTCTTGTACTGCCAATACACGAGTTCTTCATAATTGCCTTCTTTGATGATAATTGTGATGCGCTCAGTTGGATTCGCTGGCGCCCAGTCAATTGCGCCCTGAACTGTGTTGAAATCAGCGGAGCCGTCAGCTGCAACGACAACGCGAGTGCTTCCGGCGCTGGGTCCTTGACTCTTCGTTGAAAATGTCCACGAGCAGTCAGATGTGAATCCAGAGAATTGGTCATCAGCTATCTTCAAGACGTCGGGATCCATTTTAACGATGTAAGATTTGCCATATTCGAGCTTGTTGTTGTGCAAGTATACCGTTGCGGTGTTGTCGTGCACAATGATAGGGAAGAAGTAGAAGTCCACTACATCAGTGAATGTCAGCAACTATCTTATCATAAGAGTGCTGGCAAATGCCATCACTAAACGTTGGTGGACCATCTATTCAAGAACTGGCTCACGTACTTCCCCCAACAAAGTTCGTCTGGTATGTTGTCGTATCACTATAGTTGGCCTTGGTCGAGCCATTCCCAAACGGACTGGGAGACCATGGAACTGACAGATCAAGACTATCAACTAATTTCTTATTCGAGGCATCATAAACTCGAATGGTCCCGTTTGATCCTATTGATGGCGGCGAGGGGAATTGAAGCACTAAATGTGTATCTATGTTCACATTCTGCTGTCTAGGAAACGGCGATAGCTGCGGACGGCTTCCTCGTTGATCGAGGCGCGTCGCCGTCGCGACTGTGACAAGAAAGATGACCTTTAACAACTTCATGGTTCGACACAGCTTTGAGGACTCCTCGATGGTGAACTTTCTTGTGGTATATTACATAGTACGACATAACATCAATGAGCTTGAAGTCCCGAAAAATATAGTTATATTAATGTAGAACATGGTCTTCAACGGTGTAAGACAGCCCGAAGCCGTTCAATCTCAGATCTAACATGGACACAATATCGCACGAAATGTACTTCGTGTTGTTCAGCCGTTTAACCGGGATGAGGGGCTCGACACTTCACGCATGTTGACAGCCGACTAGATTCAGGAAAAGGCTAGGATTGCGGCTAGAAAAGCAGCCAAATGCAACTGGTGCTGGAAGTTGCGTGCTAGTTCTGGGGGATGACCGGTGACTTGGTTTAATGGCGAGCCTCTAGCTATTCCAGGTTTAAACCGACATTCGTAGCTGACAGCGCAGCGTGTGTCGATCCCAGCAAGGCCTACAGTCATTTCTGTTATGCATTATCGCCCTTTTGTACGAGCTCTTCAGGCTTGCCGATCTACTTGATATCCAATTCTCACTGGTGGAAATCACTGCAAAGAATACGCCGTACATCAAGGAGCTCTTGAGCCTCGAGCCTCTAGTGCGGGGTACTGCTGGGTTTAAGGATTTTAGCACATCTATGTCCTGGGGAATTCAAGTTCTCCGCATGATGATCCCGGACTTGTCTCGCTTCACCGCACTTTGGAGACAAATACTGGCAGGCACGGCGTCGAGCGAGACTCAGGGACAAGCAGAGGGGTCCTTGGAATAGTATCTGTGATGATACCGCTGACATATATCCAAACCTGGGGCGGTGGAAGTGGTCGTTATTTTTTGGTTATTGCTGATGCTATCCTCCGTTCAAATTCCGAAGCAACATCGAACATGTACCCATCCATGCCCTTTGCACACACAAAGCTGACACCAAACGGCATCCCACCTTCTACGAAGCCAGCATTTACACTCACGGCGCAGAGATCCAGTACGTTTCCGAAATGCGTGAACTCTCCAAGTTTCGCATTCAGCCCAATCGGATCAGCATCCATCTCACCAATTGTTGGATGGCATGGAACAGTAGGCACCAGCATCACATCCACCTTCCCGCCCTGTCTCGAGAACAGGTTGGCTGTCTCTCGTGTAACTTCCGCCTGCTTGATCTGATCAGAGAAAACATCCCAAGGTTTTGCGCCTCGTGAAAGCACGTTACTGAACAGTGCTTTGGTCGTCGGATGCAACGACTCCAGATTCGACAGAACAAAGTCCGTCCCGATGCAGGCTATCCGCTCGTTTACAAGACTGCCGCTGTACAGCAGCTCTGTGGCCGACAAGAATGGTTGATATGCTGAAGCATTAAGTGTTATCAGTCGACCACCCATGGACTGCATTTGCTGAACAGCTGAACCAAAGGCAACTTGAAACTCGTTTGAGCAGACAGCAAGTGCAGTAGGAGGTGGTACAGCAAACGTGAAGCCCGCCTCCGTGATATCTCGATAGTCTACGAGATGCAATGGAAGAGAAGCGGGATCCTTAGCATACGCGTCCTCTGAGTCGTATTGGTCCACGACGTACCAGACCTTTCTAGCATCTTCAGCCGATAAAGTGAATATCGATGCCGTGTCCAAACTCCGACAAGCTGGTACAATCCCTCTTCCTGATAGTGTACCTTTTGTAGGCTTATAGCCAACAATACCGTTCAATGCAGCAGGAACTCTGCCGCTTCCAGCGGTGTCGGTGCCAAGAGCGAATGAGACGAGCTGGGCAGCCACTGCGACACCTGAACCAGAGGATGATCCTCCAGAAACATACTTGCCGCCTCCAAAGACGCTTGAAGGTGTTCCATATGGCGATCTGCAGCCACTTAACCCAGTAGCAAGTTGATCCATGTTTGTCTTTCCAACCAGAATTGCGCCAGCTTCAAGGAGTGCTGAGACGACGGGAGATGTCAAATCTGGGGTGTATGCATATGTGGGACATGCTGCGGTTGTCGGGAGACCCGCGACGTCAAAGTTGTCCTTAACCGCGAAAGGAATGCCGTAGAGCGGTGGGAGCTCATCGCCACTCTTCTGCTGGTATTTAGCGCTCAACTTCCTTGCCTCTTCTATCAAGGAGTCGCGGGATCGCAGGTGAATCCACACGTAAGGATTCTCGAGTTGGTATTGTTCGGCCCGAGAACAGAGACTGGAAACCACTTCCTCGGGCGATATCTCATGCCGTTGATAGAGCCCCTTCAACGTTGCAATGTCCAAAGAGCGCCCATCCCAGCTAACAGGAGCTGGAGGCGGTGTACCAGGCGGAGTGAGGGGGCCGGCGAGTTTCTCCGCCTGCGCAATGAACTCCGCGCTCGTTGTCGTGAACCCAAACAGGCCGTCATACGAAGAGATCATGGCTAATGAATTTTTGACGTAGTCTGAATTGAAGCCCCCGGTGCAATCGCCGAGAATGCAGGATTGAAATCCACGATCATTAGCCTCTCTCGCTGTGGTTGTCACGCAGCACTCTGTTGTCACTCCACAGAAGATCAAATGGCTGATGCCCCTTGCCATGAGCTTTCTATGCAAATCGGTATTCCAGAAAGAACCCTTTCCCGGCTTGTCCACAACCACTTCTTCCGGGAGCGGTCGCAACTCATCTACTATGTCATGGCCGTATTGTCCCCGAACTAGTAGCCGCCCCATCGGTCCTTGATTACCAATTCCTAGAGTGTGGTGACCACTCGGCGCATTTATTTGGCGGTCTCTTTTTGAAGCACTGAGATCTGAAAGATCGGGCAGATGACCTTCGCGGGTGTGGACAATATGGAGGCCAAGCGCCCGCGCTGCTAGGAGAGCTTTTTGCGCTGCTGGTACGACGGAGCGTACGGAGGAGAAGATCGCCGCATCACCGCACTGAATGGCGCCAAAACCATCCGGGTCAACAAAGTCTCGTTGGATATCGATCAGAACGAGTGCTGTACGTCGCGGCGTAAAGGTGTAAGCGTACGGCGCTGCCGAAGCCAGTGTTATGGGCTGTGAGCTTGACATCGTGAAGGGATAATCGAACACGAAGAGTAGACGACGTGATCGTCACTGTATGTGCAATGCTCTCACTGCCTCAGCATACTTACTTCAACTCGCCAAATATTCTATTCGCGGCGCAGGCAGAGCGCAGCCCCGTGAACAACCGTCGAACCGACTCATTGAACATGGAGCACGGCCGGCGGCGACCCAGACTTCTGTATGCCGGCGGCCGTCGAAGGATAGTCAACTCCTCCGGCCGACTGCAACGGCGCCAGGACGATGGCGCCCGCTATCTTATCTTGCCACTATCTCCAGCAAAGAAGAGGCACTGACTTAAGATTCCAACACTCCAACTAAGGAATGCTAGCTTGCCCATAGAGTAGCCATCTCCACACTGGATTGCGGGGCGCATGCTGATAATGACACAAACAATAACGTGGCTCCGTGCTACCTCACTGCGATGCTTCTCATTGCCAACGCGCCTGTTACTCGCGCTATCGAATCTGGATTTCAACTGTAGGATGTCAGACTTCGTTGCCAACTATTGAATGAATTTACTAGTCCTCGAAGACGTCTACGCTCCGAAATGCCCGAATATCACCGCACCAAAAGAAAAAAACACGGGCACCACACAAGTTGACCAGCACATCACCGCAGTAACGCGTTCACGCAGTGCGGCTGAGAATTAGTTTTGCTTTTTTTTTGTGTTTATCTCTTATGCTTGACCGGCGCCCACGACTTGAGCATTGGTTTCGCGAAGCTCCTTCTGGTCCACCCTGCTAACACTCAGCCGTTTCCAAACATAATCTCCAGCGAGCACAGGTTCGTATTTGCTCTTTTCTCCATCCGCGAGACAGCTATCCAATGTCTTGATTGTGGCGTCGTAGTTGACGCCGAAGAAGAAAGGAATTGAATATCTTTCCTGCCCCGTTACGTTCCACACACGATGCACGGTGGAAACGAAGCGGTCGTTCGTCCAACGTGCGAGCATGTCACCGATATTGACCACGAATGTACCTGCAATTGGCGGTGCTTGAATCCACTCTCCGTCCACATTGAGGATCTGCAGGGCCGGAACCGTGCCTTGACATAGAATAGTGAAGCACTCGATATCTGTGTGTGCCCCTATTCCCAGTGCATCAGGCTCCGAAGCTTGCTGTGGCGGGTAGTGAATCAATCTACCCATGGCTCCAGGTGTTGACACAAGAGAGTCGAAGAAGTCAGGCGGCAGCAGCAAGACTTCAGCGAAGAGACGAATCATCCGCCTGGCTAAGCCGAGAACTTCTGCATAGTATTCCGCGACGCTTGCTCGGAAACCAGGCATATCGGGCCATACATTAGGGCCACTCATCGGATTGTCCTTCCATTCTAAGGACGCAATTAGCCAACCGTAACTTCAAGTCACAAAAAGCGCTCACCCTGAACTTTCTGACCCTTCGGCCAAGTGGGATCAAGCTCTTTCTCATACCCCCAGTTGAAAGCCTCGTTCATGTCAGGCTTACGAGTCTCATCAGTCCGCACCTCAGCTGGTGGCTCGTAGCCTCTCAGAATCTTGGACTTTTTGTAATTGATCTCATTCTTCTTCTCTGCGCCTTGGGCAAAGAAGGATTCGGCAGTCTTGAAGAGATTGTCAATCTTCTCTTGGGGTACATCATGGTCTTTGATGTAAAAGAACCCGACGCGGGTGCATGCGTCAGTCAATTGCTCGAGAAGCTCATTCTTTGGACTTCTGAGAGAGATGAGAGGAATTTCATTGAAGTCTGCCCGCCGAGCAACGTCGGACGAGACAGTCCTCTGATTACCACTGAAAGACGTGAAACTCATTCTGATAGCGGAAGAGATGATTGTTGTAGTAGGCTGTAGTGGTGTGCTACGAACAGACGGATGGCGGCCAAATCCATGCGAGTAGCCGGTCAGTTATCATCAATCCAAACCCTTCTTGTCCTTGTTGAATCCACCGCCGGCGGCCCGTAGCCTATAACAAACGCATTGGCAGGTGGGCCGATCAAAGTGATATTCAACGGACCCACCAAGATAGGACCAACACGACTCGTGCCCAGAACCGTCACCAAAAGGAATAAATCCACCACGCCGGCAATATGAGGCGCCGTCGGCCTCGAGGATCACAGTGAACCCGCCGGCTGACACCTTGCGACCGACGGCCAGTTAGCGATAAGTTGAAGAATTGGTTATCATTGCTCTAGAGTTCCTTCACCTCTAGTCGATAGACTGGGTTAAGACGTTCGCGTCTGCAGCGGAATTGATAACAGTTTGCCGATTAGAAGGTTTGCCTTGGGGATTGATAAACTGCGCACAAACTCTCTCTCGTTCTCTATGATCTAGTCATAGATGACCTCAATTTAGACCTTCTCTTCTTTGGTGGACTCCTCTTGTCGTTTCTTTCCTAAAGTTGCGCATAGCCTCGGCCATAATGGATGCACTTCGCTCCCGGGCCCAGCGCGTCAAGGCTAATGTCGAGTCGAAGAAGTCTAGGGAAGGATGGATCCTCGAAAAACAGCCGATGACCTTTGCGGACGAGAGTAGCTGGAGTAATCGTGACTCGGACGTGACGCCGCTCGAGCATAGGACCTGGACCTCGTGGACGATTCTCGGATACTGGTTCAGCGACGTCCTCTCGGCACAGTCATGGAGCGGTGCGAGTGCTATAATAGCAGTGGGGTTGACGTGGTATGTTGCAACATGCTGAAGTGTGTCAGTTTCGTCTTATTAAGTATGTCGCAGGCGTGAGGCTGTATATTGTCTCATTCTAGGAACATTCACTGTGACCATTCCCCTGTGTTTGAACGGTGCAGCCGGCGCACAATTGCACGTACCTTTTCCGGTCGTGGCAAGATCGAGTTTTGGCTTCCTATTCAGCCGCTTCGCTGTCGTGATCCGCATGGTCACTGCTCTGTTCTGGCATGGTATGATTGTCCTCGTGAGATGATCATTGTAGGACATGCACTAAACTACACAACAGCTATTCAAACTTATTCCGGCTCAACAGCCATGACTCAGGTTATCCGATCTATATGGCCATCATACTTAAATATCCCCAATCACCTCCCTAAATCAGCGGGTATCACGACGCAGCAGATGGTCTCGCACTTTCTGTTCTGGTCTGTGCAATTTCCCATTCTTCTCATCGCTCCTCACAAGCTCCGTTGGTTCTTTGTCGCCAAAGCAGTCATTGTTCTTTCGGCGGCTGCAGGAACAGTGATTGGCATGACTAGACTTGCTAGCGGTACGGGTGATATTTGGAATCAACAGCCTACCGTAAGCGGCGCAACTAAGGCATGGCTTATTGTCTCTTCGATGAGCTCCATGACTGGAGGTTGGGCGACCATGGCTACCAATGTAGCAGATTTTTCACGATATCTGAAGAAGCCCAATGCTGTTTACTGGCAGACACTTTTTGTGCCCCTCACTTGCACGGTTCTAGGCGTGTTCGGCATCATTGGCACGTCATGTGCTAAAGTGGTCTACGGCGAATACATTTGGGATCCCCTCACCCTTGCCAGCCACTGGGACGGTCCTGGTGGAAGGGCAGCGGCCTTCTTCGTTGGTGTGGCTTGGTGTATTGCGCAGATTGGTACTAATTTGTCTGCAAATGTTATCTCATGTGCGAACGACATGACGAATCTTTGTCCAAAGTACATCAATATCCGCCGAGGTGTTGTCATTACCACCGTCACAGCTGGCTGGATCATGGTACCCTGGAAGATTATCAGTTCTGCCGCGTCGCTTCTGAATTTCATGGGTGCCCTCGGCATTTTCCTTGCTCCTATTGCTGCCATTCTTGGCTGCGATTACTGGCTTGTCAAGAAGAGGGCTATCGATGTACCCTCGTTATATCGAAGAAACGCTAGATACCGGTATGGCAATGCTTTTGGAACCAACTGGAGGGCTGTTGTCGCTCTCCTCGTCGGCTGCGTCCCAAATCTCCCAGGTCTTGCTGCTGCTGTCAATCCCTCTATCAACATTGGAGGCGCTTCGTACATATACGATATGTTTTATCTGTATGGCTTCACTTCGACGTTTGTCGTATATTATATTCTCAGCCTATTAGTTCCAGCACCCGACACTTTGATCCCTGAGGCAATACACGAAGATGTGGTAATTATTGATGGCGAGGAGACGATTAACGATGGCGTGCATAATCCTTATAAAGGTTTCAATGTGAATGAGGATCCGGTTGAAGCGAAGGTTTAGTTTTGTAAGGAACACGTGGGAGGTATTCGCTGTGGGTCTAGATTTGATAGATTATCAATTGCAGCTTATTTCTCAATTTGACGCCAGTACTTAGATTCTATGATGGGATTATATGATCTTCTGCCGCTACATCTTTTCTCCATAGATAACTGGATGCAACATGTTCCTGAGGTGGATATTTCTGTTCCGGGCTTCCGTAGAAGTTCTCACGATACGTCCCTCCCGGTACAGCATAGTCATCCCAAAACAGGCCTCTTCTCTGTAGCTCGGGCAACAGAAGATCGATGATATCTTTGAAAGATTGAGGGAACAATGCATACGCCTGCCGAGGTCAACAGTGGTCAATACAAGGGGTCAAGGGAGGGCCTTACGAAGTTGAATCCATCAATGTCTGCTTCTTTGACCCATGTCTCGAGACTGTCAGCGACCCTTGAAGGTGATCCTACAAAGATTGGCCCATTTCCTCCGATGCTGACATGTTCGGCAACAGTATGCTTGGTCCACTTAGAGTTTGGCGGCGAAAATCGTGCATATCCGGCGACAGTTGACCTAATGCAGCCATTAGCGTTGCTCGTTATTCATCATCGAATGGGGAAACAAACTTGACGGCATTGCTCTCAACCTCTCGGAGCTCCTCGTCATCACCATATTTGCTCAGGTCAATACCGGTCCACCCGCCAAACAGGGCTAAAGCGCCCTCATGCGAAGCATATTTCCTGAACTCCTTCAATTTGGCTTCCGCTTCTTCGTCCGTCCGGCCGAGAATTGGAGTGACCAATGCAAGTACCTTGATGCTGCTAGGATCCCTTCCGAATTTCTCCTTGGCAAGCTGTCGTACTTCTGCAATGCTGTTGGCACAGACGGAGGGAGCATGTGCAGAGACAAAGATTGCCTCCGCATGTTGTGCAGCGAACTGTTTGCCCGCTCGAGATGTTCCGGCCTGTAAAAGAAGCGGAGCTCTTTGTGGGCTAGGCTGTACTATATGAGGACCTGGAACGCTGAAGTATTTTCCTTCATGGTTAATCTTCCGAACCAGCTCAGGTGCCGTGTAAATTCCTCTGGCTTTGTCCAGCTGAACGGCATCGTCACGCCAAGAGGACAAGAATAATTTATACATGACTTGCATGTACTCTTCTGCTTGAGCATACCGATCATCATGCTAAAGGATGTCAGGTTGATTTCGACCTTTTTATTACAATCAGCGTCACGTACCGCAGGTTGTTCAGAGCGACCTAAGTTACGTGCAGCTGAGTCCAAATAGCTAGTGACAATCTGTTTGCATGATTAGACATCTCCCTTAGTTTTTTTAGATCCAAGTCTTGTTTATGCTCACGTTCCACCCGAGCCTGATATCTTGTTAGCTGTGGTACCTGCTCTGATAAATTGCTCTACAACTTGCCGTCCATTTGTGAGATGGTCAACAGTGGAAAGGCGGCGTGCCAGGTGATACGGTTGTTCATAGGTTGTAGACACCGTAACACCGAATCCAATGCTTTTCGTAACCGCCGCCATGGCTGGTACAACAGCCAGGGGTTCGTTCACGGGCCATTGAGCACCAGAGACGATAGCTGGATCAAGTGACTGCTTGAAAACATCATAGCCACCTAATAGACTTAGCATGATATTATTGCTGTACAATGAAGCTTATACTGACCCAAAACATCAGCAATGAAAATGCCATGGAATTTAGCATCTTCAAGGAGTTTTGCGAGTTCTACCCAATGATTAACATCATTAAAACGCCAAGACTCATCATCTGGATGCCTCCACAATCCTGGTGACTGATGTCCACTGCCTGTGTACTCTTTAATTATGAAATGAGTGCACCCTGAGTAGATCCGACTTACACATTTCCACAAATGCATTGAGGATCAATTGCCTCTTCCTCCCTGGCTCATTGTCCTGGGTCGCCATGGTAGCCGACGTCAATCAAGTGCAGTAGCGAGTATGGCATATACACAACTTGCATTAAACTAAGCCGAGTTAGACGGAACCTCAAGAACAGACGGCGAGGAGTAACTTGGGCTTTTGATCTTAAACGTATCAATGGTATTAATGGCGCTTGCTGGTGGGGGCGTTGCGGCAAGCAAATCACGCTGGTATTGCGGGATTGCGCCATTGTGGGCAGAATGATGCTCATCGTTGTCCGAGGCATACTAACGGCACATCCCCCCTTCGCGGCAAAGCGAGACCGGAAGCAACCTTCTCAGGCCCTTTCAGACTGACAAATGCCTATCAATAATTTCACGCTGAGCTATGTGGAGATTTTAGTATTTCTCGTGGTCTGTAGAGGTGGATTTTGGTGGCTGATTGAATGTCGCAATCTGCCCCTTGGATGAATACCAAGCTTAACTCCGAACAGGAATCTTCACTTATCCTGCGCCAGCCCAGATGGCTGCTTTCTGGAAATCGCAAAAGAATACAATTAACCTCTATATTTGAGGTAGACAGCACCTTGGCCGCCAGAGTCTACCACCCGCGACTATGACCAACAGATCGCTCTTCCGCTGGGTTTCCTTCCGCTCACGTAAAGAAGAGCGTCACACGCCAGAGCAGGCAACAGAGCCAGTAGTGCAAACCGTCCCTGAGTCACAGACTGTCTTGCTATTGCA